TGCCGTGGCCAGGGGGCGGGGCTGGCTCCCTGTGGCAGCTGCCCACAGGTTTCTGTCTGCCTCTGCCAGGAGTACCCGGATCGGATCTCTAGGTGCATGCTACACGCTCCAGTTACGGCGTATTTACCATGCAATTCCCACATATGGCACTGGGGTCAAACCCCTGTGCTTCGCTCAGCACCACACCGTACTCTTAGCTACATGAACGCTAACATTTTTTCCCTGCTGAGATGCCTTATCTTTGCACTATTTTCTATTTTAGTTGTTGAATTTTGGCAAAAAGTTTTTTTGTTTTTTTTTTTTTTTTTAAATATTGAGGTGGTACATCTCTTCCTAAGATTTGTAGGAATTATTACATGTGCAAATTAAGTCATCCAGAGGAAGGATGGTTTAGGTCATTAAAGTTTCTGAATATCTTTTGTGGTTTGTTTTTTTTTTTTTTAAAGCACTGCTTTTGTAAAGATTTCATCTGTTTTTCAATGAGGCTGAGAATACTTTCATCTTGGTGTTGCAGTGTCATTCCATTCACTCATCTTTCTAGTACATCGCTTTACTTGAGTATTTTTCTGTTGTTCTGGTTTTGTTTCATCTCTGTTGCTTAAATTCTTCTAAGACTATCAATTTCTTGATGACTTTACATTTGAAAGATTTTACTATCACTTTTTTCACCATACATTTTATTTTTGCATAGGCTAAGTCCATCTTGATGTTGCTGAATGTATGCAAACCTGCTACCATTGGTGTTTCACCTTGTGGTATTGTCACAGTAGACAAGGGTTGCCATCTTTAGGCACTGTGGAGAGTTTCTAGTCGAAAAGCTCCATCCAAATATGTGGGACTTGTCTATATAAAGTACTCCAGAAAGTTTTGCTGACACTGTTCCAATATTTGTAGAAGCGTGATATTTCAACCACTGCAAGATTTATTCCTATACTATGAACAAATAGATCCTTAAAGTTGAAGCTTTGGACAGTCTTGTCCTTCAAAATACCACTTTTATTTAAAACTTCTTTAACACATACTGTGTTGTAAGCAGTTTCATGACATGAAATGATGTTTTTTAAAAAATATTTAAAAGTCACATGCTATTTTCATGCCAAAACAACATTTTTAGAAGCCTGCATCTGGGTTTATAATAGTAGAGTCAGCTGCA